TAAAAAAAAATGGAATGTGTGGCTTTGATTTATGTATTGTTTACCTTTTCTACTTTGGATAAAGGAGAGTCAAGTGGCCATTGCACTTGGACAATAATATATTTGAATAAATATAAATAAATAACTAATAAAGCAAAGAAGACAGGAAATGTTAAACATTAGGAGAAGTAAATAAACATAGGAGATTCACAAAATATTAGTGGTTAAGGCACTAAGCTAGAAACTAGGAAACTGTGAGTTCTAATTCCACCTCAGGCATGAAGGCTAACAGAGTGACTCTCTGCCAGTCATGCTCTCTCACCACCATTCACCTCAGAGGGTTGTTGTTGGTAAAATAGGAGGAGGAAGGAGTATTAGATATATTTTCTGCCTTGAATTATTTATAAAAATGATCAAGGCAGGATAATAAAAATTAGATAAATAAATAACCTAAAATGTGATGAAGATTGGTATTTACACTGTGAGACACTTCTGCTGATGGATTTTGATTTATTTTTAAAATTTAAGAAACAGCTTAGCTGCTCAAATTATATTTAATCAGTCACAATATTCTCCTATACTGATGATTACTTGCAGATCCTACAGAGAATGACCATACAGAGTAATCTGTTTTTTATGTAGCTGTGTATATTATTTGAAAGGGGGCAAAACACCATATCATTTTCTGAGCTTCATTTCTTTTCATGTACAAGAAGTAATTAGACATATGGAAACAATTCTACCCAAATGGATAGAGACCAGAGATGAATTGAAAAAGCTGAAAGTAGAAGTAGGCTAACCTAATTTTCAGTTGCTGAAAATTGGTAGCATGACTTCCTATCATTCTCAAATGGGACAGTACATAAACCAATTTTAAATTAGATTAAGTAGTTAAAAATAGTTTATTTCCTTAAATTCTCTGAATGAGACAACTTTACCCATTGCAGCCTTCATTCACTCTTCCAAATCAATTAAGGGCAGCCCCAATCAGCAAATATTTGTCTCCTGCATCCTAAAACCTAATTTGTTCCCTTCTTGGCTACGGCTGCATCTTCTAAACCCAAGATGCTTTTTAGAACTAAGACAACATGATGGAAAAGAAAGATGAGGATAATGATGATAGCAGACAAGAGAATTCTATGACTATATTATAGGTATCTCTACAATGATTAGCTAGAACATGCAGTCTAATGGTTCCCAGACAGCTATGATGTCATTCTATAAATTAAGTAAGAATTCTTTACAGTTCCAATCCTGAAAACAGAAAGTGTCTGAAAGAAGAATCTGGACTTCGGACAAATTATTCCTGTTAGGTGGCCATCATACTCAGCAAAAAAACATTTTCATGGATTGTTCAAATGAATATTTGATTTTTTCTTCTTGGGCCTTTTTTTAATAGAGGGTGGAGAGAAATATGGTGATATATAGATGGAATAAATACATATGGTCAGTTTTTATTCACCTGAAATATCCTTTGGGTCTAATTTTCAAAGATTTTAACTTAGATTTAGCAAAAGAAAAATAATTCTAAGAAAAGTTGCTTGCTATATTATGAAACTCTAAAACTCTTAAACTTTCAACTTTATAGTATTTTTTAAACACCCCCCTCCCACATACACACATATGGGGATAATCATATCTCTAGCAAAGACACTCTCTGAAATATTCATTATGAAGAACCAAATGCAAAAGTCATGTAGGTGTTTGCAGCAAATCTTATCCTAAGAGATGCAACGTAAAACTAGACTTGCCACTGTGAAATATAGTAGGAAACTATGTGTCAGCTAAAAGTCAGTTGCTCAGATTGCTTATTGTCTGTCAAAATTATCAGTTCTCTTGCTAAAGGAAAGTGGGAGTTTTTTAACAGTGGGAAATGCTCCCTAATTTCAATCCTAAATATTTTTATTTCCAATGATGTCCAACCACTTCCTTTATGAATAACTTCCTGATCTGAGATCTAGCCATTCTGAGGAGAAGATAGGGCTTATTTTAAGTGGTTTCGTTTTGGTGGCTTTATAAAAATTCATCTCTTCTGTTAGATATGTCTAAATGAATAGAAATACTTATCATCATGTGTTGGATAAAGTTCTGAAAGCAGATGAAATAAAAACCAAGTGAAATACAAAATAATTTTTTAAAAATTAAACTAAGAAAACACTCAAAGCGGCTAGTCACACAGGTTTTAAAAACTGAGGGAATTTGAAAGTTACACCAGCTATTAAAATAATATTTTTAAAAAAGAAATAGGGGTTTATGGAAAGAATTTTTATCTTTTATTCAGGATGAGAACCATTGGAGGCCAAAACATTTTTATATCAGTGAATTCCAACAGATATCTTAAATATGAGAATAAAGAAATCAATTCTGTTCATATTCCAGTGATAAGCAGAAAGCTCCTTTCTTCAATTTTTACTACTGAATTCACCCATAGTACTGTGAGTATATTCTTAACAGCCTTTACTACCACTGTTTTGTTCTTCCTGCCTGCTAGTCTCATACTTTACAAAAGAAAAGAGAACTGCTTAGTCAAAAATAAATACAGAGTAGTGTGTTTCTTATACATGCTTTCTCTATTTAGTCAAAACACTGAAGGGGGAAAAATCTGGCTGGAATAATATAAATAATATTTTTTAAAATTAGAATGAATAGAAAACTGGAAAAAGTAGCACACAATACTGGTGCCATTATTTTCTTATTTAATAGTATTTCTAAATTTTCCTCTTTCAATGGTCAGTGGAAAGAAACAAACCAAGAAATTAGAGGAAGACTGCTGGCATTCAAACCATAATCAAGGAGAGGGACTGCTATATCTTACTTCCCAGGCAGGGCTGTGATGAACTGCTGAAATGTAGGAGGTACATAAACAACAAGCAAGATCACATTATCTTCCATGCCACAAGAAGAGAGAAAGTGATGCATACTGGTTCATGTGCTGGACTGGACAAGGACATCCCCAGTTCAAGTCTACTCACAGCCATAAAAACTTGTTTTAGGAAAAAAAAAAATGTTGCTTTCAGCTTCTAAATGAATTGAGGGGAGGAGAAGAGTGACAGTGCTCACTAACCTCTTTTGAATCAATCTAACCATCTGTGTGCATTATATGGAAGGGACAGAAAAATGTTGCTCACTGTTTGAGGCCATCTTCCTCAGGGATGGATGCATAATCATGCATGGTTTGAGAACTTACTTGAAAGGGTAGCCCTCTCTCTTATGAATGAAAAAAAGCCATTGAATAGAATTCAAATGGAGTCACAGCAGGAGATAAGAAATTTTGCCAAAATGTCTAATGTTTTCTATTAAGGAAGAAAATCTGGCTTGGCCTAAGATTTGAGGGGAAGCTTTTCCTCTTAGTTGTTATTATTATTGAAAGTTTATCAAAAGACAGCACTTCCCACAACTACGTCCTCACCCAGTAATCACTGGAGAAATGGAATTCTTTTAATTAATTAAATATGACAGGCAAACAAACTATTGCATGTATGACAGGCTGAGCTTTAAGTCTTTAATTAATTAAAATGGAATGTTGATCCATCAGCATACTGAAAGAACCACAATGCAGTTAGGAAACATGAAGGAAGCAAAGACAGTTTTCTAAAGTATGTCATGCTCATTTCATCTAGTTGAACAATCCACAGTTCAGATAGGTACCACTAAGTCTACATGCCTCATTCAACTTCATTTTTTTAAATGCACAACTGACACTGCAGTTTAGAAAGTATCAATGTGTACTTTGAGAGATAAAGAAGCCCTTTGATCTGACTTTTAATTCAACCAGATCAATTTCTATGTTTGGAATGTATATGAACTAAAATGCAATTGTGTGCACTTTTCCAAACTTTGCATATTGAATTAAAATGTGCATCAAAATTCATGTAATTATCAATATTTAGAAAAAGGCACATTAGAGAGAACTGATATGTGCATAAAAACTCAATACAATTATATGAACACTTTTTAAAATTGCAATTTTTAGCAAAATGGAATAAAACTTTGAAACTCATGGAAAAATGAGAAACTTGGGAAATTGCTAATTTGTCTACCTGTCCTCTCATCCTGTGCATTTTGTTATTACTAATGTACATATTATCTTGTATTATCAATATAATGGAAGAATTGTTATATTATATTAAAAGAGGAAAAATACACTTTTGCAAATAAAAACTAAATGTATAGTGAATTTATTTTCATAATGAAAGCTGAAGTAATAAAATAATTGATATTGCTATGTTTAACGTGCTATATTTAAAATGCTATTTCTTATGTTACAAGCAGGTCTGGAAAACTATTATTCTGAAAACAACTAGTATTTAAAATAATTTAAAATATGGTTAATACAATTTTGTTTTTCTTTTGTTCTGCTTTGTTTAGGACAAAGAATTGGCTGAACTCCAAGATCATCCATGACCCTTAAAAGTTCTGGACCTTTCTAAATATTGTTATTCAAATTGACATTTGGATACATTTTTGGAGAATGATCATACTAGCTACATTTAATATTAATTCATTATGTGTACATTTGCAAATATAAATTTAGCTTTACCCCCAACCAACACCCACTAAAGACAACAATGAATAGTTTTGCACTAGTTTAGCAGGGAAAAGAGAGTGATAGCAAGCTTCAGAAGACAAGAGAGGGTGGCTACAGCCCCTAAAAACCATTCAATATATTTGTAATAAGGAGAACTTGTGTGGTTCTGTAATGTAAGAATAATAAAGGAACATCTCTCCAGGTCAACATTGCTCCTACTCAGCTACAGCTCTAAGGAAAGATTGCAGGAGCTATTAGCTGCCATTTTGAATAGTTATCTCAAATAGTAATTACATGTGTGTGTGTGTGTATTTGTCTGTCTGTCTGTGTGCCTGTCTCTGTGGGTGTGGGTGTGGGTGTAGAGGGGCATTTAACAAGCATACAATTTTTAAATGATGTGCATTTTCAAAGCTAAAAATACAAACACTGTCTAAATGCAGACGATCATAAGCAAATCATTGTCCAGAGGTCCTCAAAATTATTAAGAATGTACCTTGCTCTTTATTTTGTTTCCTTTGTAGCCATTTTTCCACTGTTTCAGCACCAACGCTCTCTAAAACAAATTCATCCAGTACCTGGGGGTGAAGAGAAAGATAGGCCTTCACTTTTTCATCTGTCAAACCTGCAAAAGAGAACATTATTGTTTATACTATTACTATTTCAAGGGAAAAAGTAACAAGAAAAAAGATCAAAATTCTCATTCAGAAATTAGTTTTATTGTGCTAGGAACATCTCAAGAAAGGCTTTACAATGCTTAATTCAAAGAGAATAAATAGATGAAATAAGACACAGCAAACAGAGTGCCACTTGAAAGATTATTAACGGCTAATTATGAATGAGAAATGTCTATGGAGATTTTCAATTATCCAGGTCATGGTTGTCCCAAAAGTGCTTTTTCCAAAAGGCAGTTGGACATTCTGGTTCTTTTTTTCTTTGAAAACATTTTGCTTCTCATCCAAGAAGCTTCTTCAGTTCAGTTATTCAGAAAAACAGGGTGGGGGGAACCAAAGAAAGTCCATTTTGCTTTTGGAAAAAATACCTTTGGAATATGAATGAAAAACCTAAAGTTAAAGCAAACTGAAGCTAATCCTGTTTCATACAAAAATCAATATGATGGCATATAGAGAGCCAAGGATTTGAAGGATTTGAAACTGGGTTTGTGTTAACTAGACAAGCAAAATATTTTCATATAAAAAAAAGAAGAGGAAATCTCTAAGTTGAAACATCAACAAACTCAATATTAGAAAATACAGTATGTTAAATGAGAAACAGGCACCATGAAACATTGCACTGTAAAGTCATCTGTTATTGATTTCTGACATATATGCATCCACATAAATACATATATGAAAAGAAAAATAACAGAAAAATTAAAGAAAGCTAAGTATTAGAGTGCCATAGTTTCATCCCCACCCATTTTACAACGTATACGCATTGTTGTCTGTTCATACAGACTGAAGACCTGAAAATACACACAAATAGGTTAAAAGCACATCTGATACTGAGAGGCAACTAAAGCTGAGAAAAAAGAATCTGCAAACACAACAGAATAGTGTGCAGTGGCAACACATAAAGTGAGGCTTTGATCCTCAGTAATATGTAGTCACAGGGACCATTCTATCCTTAATAAAAACAGAGCAAAAACGTTCCCAGTACAAGTAAAACCCAAGACAGTAAGATAAATACACAGAGAGTCCTTGCCTTATGACCACAGTCGAGCCCAAAACTTCTGTTGCTAAGTGAGGCAGTTGTTCAGTGAGTTTTGTCCCATTTTACAACCTTTCTAGCCACAACTGTTAAATGAATCACTCCAGTTATTAAGTTGGTTGTTAAATGAATCCGGCTTCCCCATTGATTTTGCTTGTCAGGCCACAAAAAGTGATCACATGACTCCAGGAAACATCATAAATATGAGCCAAATTTTGATCACTTGACCATGGGGGTTGTGAGTGTGGAAAATGGTCACAAGTCACTTTTTCCAGTGCATTATAACTTCAAATGGTCACTAAACGAATGGTTGTTAATTCAAGGACTGTCTGTAGTAAACATTAATTAGAAGAGTAAGTTTTAAAAGAAAAATCTAGGCATGATTTGTACTATACCACAAGACTGCAATTATTTATTGAAAAGAAAGAATTGTAAAACTAATTGCTTCAATGATTAAGGATAGGGAAAGCAATAATATAAGAGTGATAACATAAAGAAAAATGCCAGTTTTTACAAAAAAAAACTCCAAAATTTTCAGTTAAAAAAATGCCAAGTTCCACTGAAGTATTTCCAAATTCAGGCAAAGAGATGATGTCATGATTAGTGATAATATACAAAGTTTCTACTTTCCTTGGAAAGTGATGATCAAGTGGCCAAATTGCAGCTTTTGTTAAAAATAATAATAGTTTATTAAATTTGTATGCCACCTGACTTCCGAAGACGCTGATCCTAAATGGTTTAAATGTAGTTTTGTAGTTCAAAAATGGAAAGAGTACAACATTGTACTCTGCAAGCATAAAGGTTTGTTAATATTTGTGCAGCATAACTGCTTCTCTGGAATGAATGAATGAATGAATGAATGAATGAATGAATGAATGAATGAATGAA